GGTAGTAGGGGAACAGGAGGTATCGTCTCGGGAATCAGCCTGAAATGTGCAACTAATTCCGAGCTCTGTTCTAGTCACTCACCATGCTTACTACTTACTTACAATTAATATTAATCGCCCGTTGTTGCCAGCTCGATAGAAGCGAAACAAAAAACTATATGTCGCTTTCTTTTATTAGCTGAAATTGAACCGAGTGCGGAGCGGTCACGGTTTTCGCTTATGTGCCCCCTCCACTATGATTTTATGTAGCTAGCGGTTGCCGACCGGTATCACTGATCTTAATATATTACCAATTTTATTGCTAGTCGTATTTAGTGGACAGGTATTTTTATGTCCTATATATATTGTTGCACCCGCGGAGTATCTCGTGAATACGTACACGTATGAAATAGGAACACAATTTAAGAAAAACACTGGTTTAATTGACACTATTTACAAGCGGAGACGCAATGACAGCTCTTTTAATTCGGAAGATTACCTGTTGCACGTTCTTATGATGCCGAGAGCTATGCACGACTCTGATCTGTCTATTTGTTGACACCGTAACTAGGCAATGCATCTTCATCTTTTCACGGCACACACCTTTTGCCCCGTCTATACGCTGTCTTTAAGATAGTGTGTTGAAGAGATCTAATGTTAAATTGCACGTGTAGCTGTGTCAAACTATCTTTAAGACCTATCTTAAAGACAACGTGTAGACGGGGCATTTGACTATGAAAATATGGACTGCTAGTTACCTCCACTTTTCCTATCTAACCCGTGTATAAGGATATGTATCCAACATCTTTCGATATTTTTCGAGATTTTGACCCCGCCCCGTGTGGCAAATTGCGGGAAATTCAAAGTACGTAAGAAGAATGCAAGGATTAGATCCGTAAAACTGCAGGCTGAGTCATTTATTTCCCCTTTTTTATATTTCTTCGATTTGCAGCCTTTCACAAAACAATATAACATTATTTTTATATATTTAAATTATTGTCAAAGATTCAAGCCGATATCATGCACTAAACACCACGCACCTTTGACACGCACACTATTGTATGGATTTGTTATTTCCGGCCCCATTGTCACACGGTGTCGCCACAGATCTTGGCTACCAACGTGAAGTTGGCTCTAGCGGTCCATATTTTCATAGTCAAAGGCACACGCAGTACAGCTTCCCGAACGAGCGTAATATCAGGCGACAATATTCAGACGGCGCGGGCACAACATTATCCCCCTCTTCAAAAATGTCGTCTCGACACTTAAGGAAGCAATGTTCTTAGTACTCCTTTTGTGACTTTCAGAAATTCCAATGACTTCTTATCCTACTCTGAACTACTGCTGCAAGTTACGAACATCACTGACTAAATCTAAATCTCTTTTGATGAGCTCAGCGCGAATCTTCTTTACCAACTCATCCTCTTCTCACAGGAAACCAAAATCCTACCTCTCGATCTTTAAATTGCCAATTTTCTGCTGCTGCTTTTCTTCGGACAAAAGGGGAAAACTTTTCGTGGACTCATCATCCTTTAAAAAGACTTCTCCAAGTCTCTGCCTTAGCATTTGCTCTTAATTCCACGAGAAAAACATTTGCGAGTTATTCCTTGAGTGCAACAATATAAATATGAGAATTTTTGTGACCCGCAATGTGTTAATATTATTTAACAAAAGCCACAAAAAACGATTTTTAAATACTAGAGAATTGGTAGGTATCAATTGTAAATTAATCGAATTATGATTGTAAATTAATTGATCAATACCCTGGACAAGATGGCATCGATAGATCCAATTGTCCGCTGTCTACAGAGACGGTATCCCAAAGTCTCAGTATCTCCGGCATGGCACCACCACCTTCTCCGAGTTCTCCCCAAGAATCCACTGCACTGTCTACGCTCGGAAGGCTCTCTCTGGCCGAACGTAACACACTAGCTGGAAATTGCAGCTGGATTGTGTCACTACCTATGCTGAGCTCCCTGCAATAATCTCTGTCAAATTTTTCATTCAAACATTCTTGTACTAATTTAAAGATAAATTTGTTTGGAACAATTACTTTAATCTTTTAAGGATGTTTTGTATGTACAATCGTAGCAAAAAGTAGTAGTAGAAATTCGATTTTAACAAATATTTGCTCTTCTCATATAATTTGAGTAATAAAGATTGCGTAGAATCTTATCATTTATTCATAACTAGAGTGTAGAAATGTACTTTTGAATTTCTGTTGCTTCTTTTCTGAGAATTTTCGAATTTTCTAAATTATAATGAAAAATTTGACCGTGACGGTATCTCGAATTTAACTTTACAGCGCAACATTTTATTTATAAAAATGAAATAATTTACTCGTACAGAGTGGTTTAATCTGAAATGGTACATCGTAGCATGATAGTTTTTTGGCAAAAGTTGATCTATTTTTTAAGACTTCAAATAGTGCGTCTCCTACATAATTTTTTTGTGCAAAAAGAAGATTCTTTTTAATGGGCTCGTGACCTCTTTGAAAAGATATTATATTCTTATTAAATTTTATTTTTAAGAGTTCTTATTGTCTTTGAATTCAAATATGAGATCAAAATTTTGAAATTTAAGAAAAAATTATTTTTATAATGCACCAAATAATATTTATTGTATTTACAGGGTGACTATTAGGATTTATTATAGTTGAAAGTAAATGTGGTTATTACTTCGTAACAAGTAGACCGAACAAAATAAATAAAATGCCATTTTGTAGCGAAAACTTATCAAATTTTATTACCATAAGTATGAAACAAATATATAATAATAATATATAATATATAAATATATAATATTTTAATAATTTAAATACACATTATTAAAAAAGGGACAAAAATTTGCTTGCGCGCATAACTAATAATATATGTTTTCAAAATGTTTGTACATCGGAATCGGCACAGAGTTACAACCGTTTTCGAAAACTTTTAGAAACAACATGGTTGTAGAAATGCTGCGAGTGCATGTTCAAATGCTATTTATCAACTCTTTGGTATTTTGAGACTGTACAGCATAACATTGGTCTTTGAGGTATTCTCAGAAGAAAAAATCGCACGGGTTCAAATCGAATGAATAATGAGACGCACCATTTGAAAAGTCTTCAAAAATAGATCAATTTTTGCCAAAGAACTATCATACTACGACGTACCATTTCAGATTAAACCATTCCAAAACTCCATGAGCGAATTTCGGATATCCTAACCCCTAACCACCCTGTTGTCATACACTTTATATATCGATTCGAATATTGCGAGTACGGTGTGGGGTCGCGTCATCTTGCATAAAATGAAATTTCTTTACTAATCCTTGTTTCTTTACATGAGGAAAGAATTTAGTCTCCAACAACTCTTTATAACTTTCACCGGTAATGGTCCCTTCAAAAAATTGCAGATAGACTCTTTTACAAAAATCGTAGTCCACGCGGAGACTTTTTGGAGGTGAAGAAGAACGGCAATCAATACATTCGGATTTTTTTTCGGATATCTACGATCATTCAAAGTGTCATACTAAAATTATTAATAATCCTGCAAAAAAATATCAAAAAATGAATAATATCTCAGATCACCAGCATGTGTAGGTTAGATTAGGTTAAGGGGCGATTCCAGAGAAGCCTACCTTGTGAGTATAATTTCGTTTGAAACTTTTTTAGATCCATATTTACTACGGAATCAACGATACGTCTCAGTATAGTTTTTGCCTCTACTATAGAAGCACTCGATAAGAAATACTTTTTCTTTGATGCTTACAATTAGCGCGTTTATTTTAATACTCATAAACCGGCTTGTACAACGGCTCAAATAAAATTGACAGCTCTCAAGTACCGGAACGTAATCAGTTAAATGATCGCCGAAATTGAGGAGGAAAAATATAATGGCTGCGTTCGGGGAGCGCACTATCAGCGCAATTGTGTCATTTTATCCTTGTTTTATGTCTAATGAGCGATAAAGATAGAAGACGCAATAGCGCTGATAGCGCGCTCCCCGAACGCAGCCAATATTATTTACTTTCAACTAAATCCTAATGGTTCTGTATACTTTGTAATTTTTATTTACATGTTACCAACAACTATTTTTAATAATGTAATGTTGTTCTTTAAAGATTAACAATGACAAAAAAGACAATAAGAATCAGTAGTGCAAAAATATAATATTATAAATCAATATACAAAAATAACAAACATTTTGGCTACAATTTTGATCTTTCTTCAGTTTGACAAATTATTGGTAAAGAAGGTTTAGAAAGAAAAAGATTTAGCTTAAATAGGAAATATAAAGATTTTTCTCCTTTCTTATATTTTATCAAACTGAAGAGAGCTTGAAATTGTAGCCAAAGAATGTTATGTAATTTTTGTATAATAAATTTTTGTATAATAAACTATTTTTTTAATATATTTCTTTTATATTGTATTTTTTATTCTTTAGTTACATAAACTTTTTATATCTTGTCGTTATTTACAATACATATGTTCCATTATTTTCAAAGTTTTAACATGTTGACTGCCCAGCAAATTTTATGGGTCTTACAATGTATGCCAAAATGGAGTTTTCATTGTGAATATGAATCACATAATGATAAAATTTTGCTTAATATGATTAAATTAGACTATATTATTACAAATGATGCGTTTATTTTATTGGGGACAACCAATGACCATAAGGACGTAATAGTACTTTCAATTAATCAAATTACTACAAATTGAAAGGCATCTCGAGCAATCGCTGAATGTTAGTGCGAGGATTATTAATATTTTTCACAAAAAACTGTCACGGAGCATGTGTCCATTTCCTACTGTGTCCGATTGGCATTGTGTCCGATTGGACCTGTGTCCGATTCATTCAACCTGCTGTGTCTGATTTATTCTGTGCGCAACTCAAAGAATTCAAGCGACTGCTTAACTATGTCTGGTCGGTTTTAAATCCATACATTTCAAAAACTATTGCTTGGATTGAAAAATCGTAAAAAACTTTTTTATTTTATTTTTTGAAAACTTTTATGCTATAATATCTTGATTTGGGACAAAAATACGTACAAATATAATAAGGATGTAATATGAATAAAACTTAAGGTATTAATAGACGCATGATTAATAAATAATAAATTTTGAATAAAAATAAAATATAGTTAAAAATACAAATTTCTTTGCCTAAATAATGGTGTTTAAAGAGTTAAACTTTTGTATAACATTTTACAAGATTTTTATGTTAATTTCATTAATACGTATATTATTAGATACCTTGTTTCCGAATTAAGATCCGGTTTTCTAACAGTTAAAGCAGCTACCGAACTACCAGGCTGGTGCAATAATTGGGCGGCTTGTCTTAAATCTCCGGGATCCAATTTTTGTCCGTCTATTGCGAGTAATCTATCTCCTGGGGCTAAACTACCCGTTCGGTACGCAAGTGATCCTCGACGAACTTCTGTGATTACCAAATCCTCGTTCACTGTGAGACCTAGATCGGGCTGACCGCCAAGTGGTCTCGCCACCCTCACTGTGAAGATTCCAGAACTCGGCACCACTGGGCCTCCCACTTTGTATTCTATCACCAACTCAATCTGGTCGTGCAAAAATGTACAAAAGCAATTAATAAGAAGATATTTCGTCTTTTTAGTAATGTAGAAAATAAATATATATGTATAAATGTCATATAAATTTTAAAAAATATTCAAGAATCGAATAGAAACATTCTTACTAAATAAAAATCGTAACACAAGTAGGTCTAAAGTGACCCGGTACAAAATTTATTTTAAAAATTAAAAAATTAATAACAATTTTTAACTAATTTATTAATTAAGTACGATAATTACGATGTAATTTTTGCAGCACCACACCTATATTGTAGTGTGTAATAAAACATTTAGCAAAAATCCATTCTTAAAAAAAACATATCCGATATTTTGATAGTATCGAAGTTCATTGTTGCCGCTTTTTCGCGATGTCGATTAATTTCTTTCGTTGCGCTTGATTCATATCGTAAGAAACCATGGGCGGAGACATGTAATTTTTTTGCATGTGGAGTACCAACACCGTGGGAAAGAGGGGGGGGGGGGGGGAGTAGTAAATGTCGAATTGATTTTTTTTTCGTATACAAATATAGAAATATACATATATGTTACGCTCGTACAAGTAATAAATATAAATGCATTTTATTATTGAGTTGAAACTGCGAAGCACGTTCCTCGAGCACTGTTTTTACAAATAAATTAGTCCATTAAAATATCTATAGTTGTGCAAGCTCTTCGTTAACGTGCATTATTGCCACGTTATTTAGTCTTTTCTGGCCCATTGTACTTCTTAAATACGTTTTCAGACGTCTTAGTACGCTGAAAGACCACTCGCAGGTGCAGATCGAGTTTGGTATCGTTAAGAAAATTTTGATGATTTTTTGTGTACTCATGAACAAAATCACGGACCGATTGATTCTCCTTTAAGAACGCGACTACGTTTTTCAAGGACTTCATTTTCAAGTTTTTTTTGGCAACAACATTCAAAAACATATTCCGATGCAGGATTAATTTGTCTGCGTCGAAATCTGCTTGTAACGGATTTGTGGCATTTAGCGATACTGAGTGATTGTAAAAATGAAGAACTTTATAAACTTTCACTCACTTCTTGCCGATCGCGAAATTTTCGAAGTTGTTTAATAAAGTTTTGGTGTCAGAATCGAACCGACAATTTAACGACATCAAAACCTGATCGAAAACTTGAAAGAAAAGTCGTCTGTAAAACTCCTTCGGAGTGTTGCATGTGTGCTCTGCATGTTGTTTTAATTTGGGATCTTCAGCGCCTTAGCCCCTGCTATCGCATTATCCCAAATCGAGTCAAATTTTGATTCGCGCGTTTGTGTGAGAATATTTATCATTATTTCAACTGTATCGTGCGAGTTGATGCAAAGATCTGCATTCTGCAATACGGCGTTTAAATATTCTATTTTTTCAAACATCTCAATTAGAGTGAGGAAAATGTTCTTCAAGCGCAACAAAAGAAAATTTAAACGACTGCATTTGTTTGAGAAATCCAGTTGCTTTTGACGATGCACTGTTCTCCACATCAGGATCATTCTTCATTTCTTTGAAAAAGATCACAACTGCTTCATAATTTTGTGTATTATAAATCATTTTTAACGATTTGACACGCATACACCATCTACAAAAATATAATATTACACCAAATTATTAAATAACAGTTGTTAATAATAATAAATACACTGATAAATAGGAGAATTCATAGTTACATATTAAATACCTAGTCAAGCAAAACGGAGATAAGATAGGACTCTTGTCAGATTGCAAATTTTTGAAGTTCGAAAATCTTTTCGGTGAATCTCTGATAAAGTTTATAAGCTCTCTAACAATCCCCATTAAATTTTTAATCTACGTTACTTTTTTGCTGTCATCTTGAACGACAAGACTCAAATTATGGGCGCTGCAATGGACGAAAAGAGCCCGGGGTTCCAAATTTCGTATGCGAGCTTGTAAGCCTGTTTTTCGTTCGCTCATGTTTGCTGTCCCATCATAGCATTGCCCCCGCATGTTGAATATGTCTAGCTCATATCGGCCCAGAATATCTTGGGTAATGCGTAATAATATTTCGGCCTTTATATTTACGGTTTCATAAAAACCCAAAAATATTTCTGACGTTTCCAGATTTTCAAGAGTTATTCGCAGGCAAACAGCTACCTGCTCTAACCTTGATGCATTCGATGTCTCATCCAGCATCAATAAATAGTAGCGTATAGCTTTTATGTCATCCAGCTTTTGCCTTACGACTTGCTCGACCATCATTGCAAGAATCTCATCAACAATATGATGCGAAGTCTATGTATAGTTTTCTCTTTTGAGCCACCTATTCAGCTCTGGAACGTTGTCTGCGCGTCGTCTTTTAAAAATTGTTGGAAATTCGATTCCTCATCATTATTTTGTTCTCGCAAATTCAAGTCTTGCCTAGCCAATAACGAAATAGTGGTGAATATTTTTCGTAAGGCTGTACGATTGGCCACCATCTTGTTGAGCTTTGCACTTGATTTTGCACTACACTGACCGCTTTTACAGTGGACAAAGATTGGATTGCTTCCCGATGAAATTCAGTGCTTTCATGCTTCTTAAATCTCCCAGCAGCGTTTTTCCAGCAGTCAAATCCCTTCTTGACAAATGCCTCTCGAACACGATTGCAGTTTGCAGAAGCGGATAATAACAATTTTCTTTCGACCGCTTCAATGCACACTTTGCAAACAACCTTTTGAAGAGAATTTAAACTCAACCACAAATAATTTTTCTATCAAATACTGTACGATTCTGGTATTTCTTTGTCTGAAAATAAAATAACTAGGCAATATTCTTGAAACGCACCAAAAATGTTACAGTTTAGCAGGTAATATGATAATTTTAAAAGTTTCGAAGAAACGGATCAGGATCAGGTACATCATCTCTTTTCCACTTTCTTACTACGAACCTGTCCACAGTATATTAGTCCTTTATCCCTTCCTTTTTATATTATACAACACACTCTGGCAAACCGGTACATTACCACAAACACACGGTCCTTTAGGGGAGACTCGGGAAAAAAACACGCACGTAATCTGCGCGGACAGCGCGGTAGAAAGAAAAGAACATCAGATAAGCAAGGTTGCAGCCCGTAGCGTAGGGCCTGCGTCTTTACTTATTTCTATCCACGTTTGTTAAAATTCGCACAAATTTCTATTTTTGTTTCTCAAATCTAGCATGTGGAATTTCACAAGTCAGATATTTGGCCTGTGAAATTTCTATATGCTCCGTACAGAAGTCTCCGCCCATGTAAGCAACTGTCATTGTTGATAGGTTTTTTAATTACAAATTGACAATATTTTTTATTAATTTTAAACAAAATATTTTTTACGGCAAAAATTTGAGTTTAAACTGACATTCGAAAAAAATATCTGCGTAGAAAAAAATTTTTAATCTAACAGTAATAAATTTAAAAGTAATAAATTTCAAATTTACGAATATTTTTTACACTACTCTACAAAAAAATAGAGAACAATTTTTAAACTTGAGAACAATTCAAAATTGAGCAATTTTCAAATTGCTGTAATTCGGCAGAAAATCATCGCAGACCAAAAAAAGAAAAACTTTTAAAGCTTGAAGTTTTACGTATTTTAGGCCATTTCTTGAAAAATTTTTTATTTTATTACTTTGGACTCGAAAAAAAAATACATTGTTTTATTTCTTAAAATTATGTACCTTTAACACTTTGCAACTCGATAACAAAATGTTTTTCGAAATTCGTGATAAATGGCGAAAACTACGCTTTACCTGCAAAACGTGTGTTTAAAAATATTTTTATAATTATTTTGGCCGAGTTACACGACTTTGAAGATTAACCTGCATTTTTAGAAATAATATTAAAACTCGACAAAAAAATTTTCTAAAGCTTAAAGTTTGTGCTTTCACGTAACTTGTAACCATTTTTTTTTTAATTTTTTATCTTTGCAATTCCGAACTCAAAAAAATAAACACTATTTTTGTCTTAAAATTACATATTTTCAACACTGCAGTTTAATAAAAAATTTTTTCTCGCAAAGTTTATGACAAATACCAAAAACTGCATTTTATCTGCAAAACGCATGTTTAAAAATATTACTACGATTTTTTTGGCCGAATTACACGACTTTAAAACTAACTTTGTAAATAATAACGTTTACCATCGGTAATAGTATTAGTATAAAAATACAGGTTTATGTTCAAAGTCCCGCAACACGGTTAAAAAAATTGTTGGAGCATTTTTAAACACACGTTTTGCAGGTAAAGAGTAGCAATTTTTGTCATTTGTTATGAACTTTTTGAATAAAATTTTGTTATTGAGCTGCAGAGTGTTGAAAATGCGTAATTTTAAGGAACAGAATAACGTATTCTTTTTTTCGGATCCAGAAGTATAAAAATAAAAAATTTTTTCAAGAGAAATCTAAAGTATGTAAAAGTACAAATATGAAGCTTTAAAACGCTTTTTTAATTTTTGATTTGCAATGATTTTTACCAAGTTATAACAGTTTAAAAATTGCTTGATTTTGAGTGTCTAAAAAGTGTTCTCCATTTTTTTAGAGTAATGTAGTCTAACCTTTAATAGTTTTTTTTTACTAACAAATTGACAATATTTTTTATTTTATTATTAGTTTGGAAAGGTTTGCTAGATAAAATAATATAATGACTATTTGTTTAGGTATAATATACCATTCAAATTTCGAATTATTAGATCATTTAGTTTTGAAAAAAATTAATATCAAAATTCATATTTTATACATGGACACTTATGACGTCGTGCATGAAAATGTTATTATTAATAAAAAAAGTGATTGAACAATAAGATTCGAATAAAAAAATAAAATGTTTAAAATATAAAATAAACATTTAAAAAATTAAAATAAAAGAGCTGGATGAAGTTTGAACGTTCCTAAAGCGATTTTTAAAAAATGATTTGTCACTCTTCTCCTTCTGCAAAGAGGAAGTTTTGAGACCCACAAACAAAATACAAAAGAGACCGATTCGATACATTCGTCGAAAGACACCCTTATCAAGTGTTC